GGAATGCCATAGAAAAATTCAAACCCCAGAAACATTCATAAGCATTGAAGGCATCAAACAAACAATGAATATTATAAAACCAGGACTCATTAGTTTACTGGACACTGTTGATCCCTGGCATTGATGAAGTTCTTTAAGAAATAATCAGTATGATTGCATAACTTTAGACTGTACAGCAGTGCACACAGTCATGTACAAACACAGAACATTTTACAAACCACTACCCATAACACTGATTATCGTTACTATTTTCTTTCTTTTTTTTTTTCTTCTTGAGTGCTTGCTTCATGCTGCCATTCCTGCACATAATTGATTGAAGAGTTCGATTACTTTTATGGGAATAAACAATTTCCCTTTTCATTTTAAATGGATTAAATTCTTTTTAAACAGTTAAAAGTGTAAGAATAAGTTTTATAGCTGCTATTGGAAAATCTCCTAATCTAGTTTTAAGATGATGTTGCTTTGTCAGCCTACAAAATTTGTTTTTGTATTGCAAAGCTACACAGTTGTCCCTCCCCACTCCCTCACAAGAGCGAGCCTTTCATAACATAAAGCTAACAAAGACATGCATAAAGAATTTTTGAGAGACTATAAATATTTTAGCCTAAGTTATTGTACAAAACAACAACGAAACTGTAGTTATTTTGCTACAAAAATAAACAGTGGAAATGTTAATTATGAGAAAGATCTAAACATGCATGAGGAAGCGCTATGGCTTCAAAGACATGACGGAATGAGTAACATATTCCATTATGTAAATGAATTCAAAGATATTTCACAACTGATCAGCTAGGAGGGACATAATGATTTATAATTCAAATAACTGAGCTTTGAAATCAGATTGGGCTAATATATTTCAAAATATGCAAACCTGGAATAATTGTGAATGTAAACCATGACACCAGCTCAAATCATTTGTTGCCTTTGTTGTTAATCCTGTCTTCTGTTTTTTCTTCTTTTTTTTTTCCTCCTGTTATATGTGCAGTTGCTGGAATTATGGTTTGCTTTTAATTCTAGCTTATCCTTTAGAAAAAGTCTATTATACACATAAAAAAAGAAAAATACCAATTTCTAAGACTGTGTAGAAGCTGATTGACGTACAGGAAAGTACTGAAATTAAATAAATTATTATTTTAACCTTTCAGGCTAGCCACAATTTCATCTATATCAAATACTGAAAATTGATCCACTCGATCCAGCCTCTTAACAATACACTATTTCTTTCAAAGCAATATATACTTAATGCCTTTAAAAAAACCCCTAATATAATGTGAAAAGGCCAAAGTTTGCAATGCCAGGAAGTAGTTATAAACTACTTCATATGTTTGAAATAAAAAGTACTTCAGTATTATTATTATTAAAAAAACCCTATTGGTAGAGTTTTTTATATGAAAAAAATACATATCTTTAAAAGCCAAAATGACCAGTGAAATTGGGTTGTACATCATTTTCTGGGAAAAAGGAAAAACAGCCTCGACAGGTGTAATTTATCATTTTTCTGATTTAATACCAAAGAAATATATTAAAATAATAAAAAGAATCCTGAAATCCTCAAAATTTGTAGTGATAAATAGCCCTCCCTGTCTTTATTGCATTATGCCTACTAACAGAAATATTGCATGGTGGATTTTGCCAGACAAGGACGATTATTTTCCAATAAAAAGTTGCATATTAAATTCCAGCACAAAAGTAGGTGTCTAATACTTTTGAAATCTTTTATGGTTTGCCAGGGAACACAATTTTAAACTTAACTAATACAACATCATGGTGAAGTGAACCAGCATTAAAGCTGTCTTTGTACAACCCCACCCATCTAAGCAGAAAAGCTACTGTTCTCAGAATTTTTGTTTGAAGCATTGCCATTGAAAAGTAATTCAAAAAATTTTTGGTATTTATGTTTTTAGCTAATCTCTCTTTTTACTAGTCTTTAAAAACTTCACATTGATGTTTAAGATGTATATTTATGAAGGTAGTGCTGCTTTACATTCTGACTATTCATAGGGGTCTGAAACTGCTCTTGCAACAGTTCGCAAGTTTTTGCAGAGAAAAAACCCCACAATTTCATCACGATTCTACTCTTCAGGAGAATTTAGGTTATTAAATATCTACTTTTTCATCCTTTCTAGGTGCTAATATTATGATATTTATTTCATGAGCAGAAACTTATTTATTGCAATGATAATTTGAGTAATTTGAAATAACTATCCAGACATTTCAGCCTTGGAAAAGTATTATTTGCACCAATAGTTACTGACCCTCATTTTTGAAAGCTACCATGTGAACACATGCCTTTGAAAGCCTCCACAAGACAATATAAAATGTTAGATGAGTGTTGGCTTTAGCAGTAATATAAGGCTGATTATTTCAGGAAGTATACATACATTATAAATAAACAGGCAAGCACTTTAAGTTGGGTGCACCATGTTAAATTTCTTGGCTATTTTGAAAGTGTTTTGAACCCTACTGAAGCAATACGCCTATAGTATAAAAGAGGAAAGGGCTCATTAGTCCCTTCATAAATCTTATTAACAAAATAAATGTCTCCCCTTCTGTTTTTGTCAAATTCCTTAGTAATATTTCACTTTCAAGTCTATTTCTGTGATACCATGAGAACAAACACACACGCATATCTAAAACATAAAATGAGCTGCTTAATGGTATTTCAAGTAAACATACAGAAGGACACATTGCATGATTTTCATTTCAATTATGGAATGTGGAAACCCACATTCATCTCTCAACCCAAGGAAATATATTAAAATTCTTCTTACACTGTTAGAGTTCTACAGAGAAATAAAATTATACCAAGTGTCATATTTCAGGTGCCTTCCCCTCTGCTTGTCTAACAATACCCTCTAGAAAATCACCAAAAAGTTGGTTTTATTTTTTAAAATAGTGAAGGATTTCTATTTTGCATATTTTAATGAGCTCTGGTGGTTTATTATCTGTCGTAATCTTTAAATATTGTGTCATATCAAAAACAGCTACTACTTTTTTTTAAAATCTTCTTGCTCGATTGAATGGTAATTCAACGAGCAAACATTCTTCTCCAACTGATGATAAGTAAGAAAGTATTAGAACAAGATATAGCAGGTGTGCAACAGATAGCAAGTCAGCATCCGTGATTTGGGTACTAATTTCACAAAAACACTTGAACCCAGAAAATAATCCACATGCAAAGTCATGGCTGTTATATCTGTAGTAACGATGATACTGACACAGCGAGGAACTTAAAATCGGGCAACGATAAAATACTTGGAGAGGCTTGTGTTTAAAATCTAACTCATGCTCCATATCTTAGTTGACTCATCCTCAAAGTAGAAACAACCCTGTTCTCAGCATTGTTGAGCTCATCAATGGTACTGACTTCAGGGGGATGAGGAGTGGCATAAATAAGCATAAGCAACTAGTTATATGATTTCTCTTGTGTTGATAAGAAGTAGGTAGAAATAAGCATACCTTTTAAAAACTATGCACAGAAAAAGATGAACCAAAATGAATAAATATTAATAACCTAGTTGGTTTAAAAATGTGGCATACAAAACAACAAAAGTCTCATATTACTTTTTACCTTATTATTTTCAAATAATATACTATGCCATATACAGTAAAAAGGATATCCAACAGAAAGGTCATTTAGAAACTGAAGAGTTCTTGAAATCACGGGCTCACATCTTCCCCGGTATTTAAGATTTGTAACACTAGAATAAACAAAAGAGTGAGATTTTATAACACATTTAATCTCTTTTTGAGAAGTGCAGTGCAAAAGCTCAGAGTACAGCACATTATACTATGAATGTATTTCTGTGATACGTCTTAGGATTTTCCATTTATGAGACAGAAAATGCTATAAAAACATGCCACATCTTTTTCCTGGTCAAGGGATTCAAACATTTTTATAATACTGTAACAAATACATTCATTTTAAAAGATCCATCATCTGTCATAATGAAACAAATTATCTGAAGGTTAGCCCTACTTATATCTATCCTACTCGGTTCTCAACACAGTATCTGGCCACTTAACTTCTGTAGTATTTATCCGCCCAGTTCTTCACAAGATAAAAACAAATTGCTATAAATTCCCTAGGAAAATTTCCATAGGAGAAACGGGGCACAGAAAAACTAAGGGCCAGAGCTACTGATATACTCAACTCCCAGTGAAGTTCTACCTTGCAGTTCTTGTACCAATTCAAACACTTAACTAAAGTCAAGATACATAGGGGATACTGCATTTCCCTAATTGCAACCCCTCTCAGACATAGGCATTTAGGAAGCATATGCTGATTAATGAACCAATGCATAAATTATGATACAGGATAACACTAGACCTATTGGCAATCCTTGGGGAACCCCACATAAAACAACTTACCATTTTTGACAGCAAACTCTTACAGTCAGCCTTTCAGTGCAATCATGCAGCTAACACCAGGCAATGATGACTTGCCCTACTACCTTCCATAGGTTAAGCGTGAGACACGGAGCACAGAGCCAGGACCCTCCTACATCTTCTTCTGTACTGTGCATGCAGGTCAGAGCAAGGACACCCAAGTGACTTGGGATGGAATCTGTTGTGTTCACCTACTAGATTTGTTAGGAGGTGAAGAGGTGGCAGTAGCTTTCACATGAAAGGGGTACATTGATGCCGGGAAACTGCAGGAACATATTTTTTCTCAAATGAGGACTGGTTACAACACTAAGAGTCACGGATCTTGTACTCTGGCATTTCCTCGCTTTCTTAGGGGAATGTCAAGTAAGCCAGCATCAACAGTCTTACTGAAGCATGAATGTCTGATATCTACTGTTTCTGTTGTAAACTTCAGCCAGTGACTCCAAGAAGAAATTAGCACCCCAAATGTAGCCCAAATACATTTATCATTTAATTAGACACTGACTACTAGTAACTTTTTCCAGTACTCCTTTAAGAATCCAAGTTGGGCTGATCAGCCTGTAACAAGTTGCTTCCTCCCCACTCCCTTTTGGGCAAGTACTGCACCCTACTCTTCTGGGACATCCACCATCACCCTTAATTGCTCAAAAAACCTGAAAGAAAGCTGAATGTCCCCCTCCTACAGACAGAGTGATAATGCTGCGTAAGAGACTCACAGCAGAGTTTCTGATACTGGATTCATCTGGAGAAACAACTAATAAAAATCAGGCCACCACAGCCTTTTGAAACATAGCCCACTCAAACGGAAAGGCAGCACAACTCCCTGGCTCAGGAGCCCCGGGGATACCTGATCATGGTATCAAATTGCTAGGGTGTATCTCAAACGGCCAGGTGATGAAGAATAACTAAATTCAGATTTGTATGCCTCAGTTTCCTTGTCTGTAGAATATGCGTAATGATTCTGACTGTAAGCTGTCAGATCTACTGATGAAAGACCATGATAGTACCAGCTATTTATACCGTGAGGCAATAGGATTTCCATTTTGGGAATACAGACCTTACTTGAAGAAAAGATGTTAAATGCCTTAAAATCAGCATTGATTATTGCCTTTACATATTCACAGGCTAAGGAATGTACTACAACACATAAACTAAATCTTTTTTTCAGGAAGTTACAAACTCAAGAATGCAGTTTAAAGCACCTAACTGTTTAGTATTATTTGCTCAGGAAAAGGCAAATAACAATGCAATTACCAAAGCAGTATTCCTCGATTTAGATTTACAAACAAACATTGATTTACTTTATAAAATCTCTATGAAGAGCTACAGAGGTTCAGATTGCTGTAAAGAAATAGCCCATTCGAGCAAGTCCATAATTCACAGTTTATCCCTACTATGGGGAGTTCTGGAGATGTTTATAGTTGCACTAAATCCTTAACAAGTATACACCATACAAAGCAATAAAAATGAATTTGGACTACCCAGATTTGACATCAATATCGAAATCATAAAAAGGCTATTTTGCAAAACAGCAAAATCTTTGTCCATCAGTAGCCAGATGTAAGACATTCAATGAAAAACAAGAAGTCACAGTGACAGCTTAAAGAGAAAATTAAAACTACGTAAGAAAGGCTCTTCATCCAACATTCAGGGTAACTTCGTATACATCTGTTCTTTCAGTTCATGGTTGTATTTGGATGCTGAAAGATGGAGTAATAATATAAAAGCTAGAAAGTACTCGTGAGTGAACAGAGGCTGAAAAATTTCAATTATAATCGTAACAATTCCCATTTCTGTTTCTGCGTTATCAATATCAGGCAAGACGAAAGACACATAAAATGTAGTATTTTAAGAAATACCTACAAAACATTATAAGTATCTGAGAAAATCTGTAAAGATCTGGAGAGGAATGTCATAAAACAAAAACCAGTTTCCTACTATGTAAGGAAGAGAAGCAGAGGAATGAAAAAGGAGAAAAATTTACAGCTCTCGGAGAAATCATGGCAAGACAGCACTTAAATCCAAGGGCTAGTGTCTTTGCCTCTTTATCTCTCAAGTGGCTTATTGATTTAAAATATGAACTAAATGAAACAGAGTCAAAGGAACCAATCATAAAGTTCTAGATGAGTCACAGAAAGTAAGAGCTTCATCAAAAGCTACGTCAATGACAAATTCACCAAAACATCTATGGTAGATGAGCAGTGAACACATTTTAAAGGCAAGTACAAAAAAGGTGGAAATAAAAAATGGCAGAATTATTTCCAATTTTGGTAACAGTACCAGTATCAAAAAACTGAATTACGCATTCACACACACACACAAAACCAGAAGAGCAACAGTAACACAGATCCTTCCTGAAAAGCCATGAGAATTTAAAAAATTTAAATGAAACAGCACTAAGAATCCAAGTATACTTTCAAGTACTTGCTTTTAGTTTGCCTTTGGAAAGAAGACAGGAATAAAACCTTAGCTTCTAAAAGCTGCAGCAAAGAAGCTTCCCCGCTTTCTGATCTCCGAACCTTCCAGCTTGCTACGAGACTTCGTCTGTCATCACGACTGCTTACTAATGCAGTTCTATCAGCACACCAAACATCCCTTCCCTTAAGAGTGACTTAAAAGTATTATTTCAAGAGGCTTTGTATTTTTAACCTAAAATCTAGAAGGGGAAGGTAAGTAATGATTATATACTCCAATTTACAGTCCTCTGGGAAAAGAGTTACCATATCATCCACAGAAGAATCAAAATTCTTTGCATGTTCCACGTCATTATGATATTTAGCCAGGGAAAGCATCAAGGCAAAATTACCCACTTCCAGCCTCTTAAATCCAATTTTATAACTTTCCCTCCCCCACAAAAAAAAGAAAAAAAAAATTCTACTACCCTTAATTTCCTGTTCTGTCCTCAGTTTACAATTTGGAGAAAGACCTCTTCATGCGATACATGGACTGTATCACACTGCTCTTAAAAGTTCTGCACAGCAAAGGGCAACCCTTCATACAAGGTTTAGCAGTTCTTAAGGCAGCAGTGGATGGGAAATGATACCGCTGGAGCATAGGAGTGGAATGCTCGGCTTAGAAGAGAGAACTGAAAAACACACAGTGCAATTTAAAAAAGAAAATCTGAGAGTAGGAAACAGAATCAGGGATGCAAGGTAGAAAGCAAAAGCAAAGGACAGTCAGCACAGAAAAGGGAGCGCTGAAGACTGAGTATATGCTGCACAAAGAGAGAAAATCCATTTGGTCGCACGGGTGGTGGGTATCTTCTCCACTTACCACCGCATGCCAAGGTGCTCAAGTATTACTTACAGGCCATTTGTAAGTGCCCAAAGCATTCATCCATCCTCTTTCCAGGAGGCCTTGAACCCCTACTCTGAGATGCAATGGCCAGGTATGTTATCACGATAAAGCTGAGGAATCCCAGGGATGCCGTACTACCTGCACACGCACCGGTTACTGTACCTCACATGCACAGGACATTTGGTAATATGACAGGGAAGCAGTTGCAAAAGATAAGTTGCTACCCGCCAGAAGAGATGGCAACTGCTGCAAATCAGCCAGTTTGTTTGTGAACCATGTGCATTTAGGAATAGTCTTAAGTCTCAAGTTGAGGATATTACAAACAGACTTGCATTATAAAAATCATAAAGATTAAAAAGAAAAATCATACATTTAAACAAACTTTCAAAGTTGCTTAAAGTGACTGCTATCCAATTTCCATTAAAGTGCAAGAAAAATGGGCATCCAAATCCCCCCAAAAGACTTTGAAAATCTCTTCCTTATGTGGTACTTAAGTTTCAGTAATAACAAAGATAGCAATTTGTTGGCAAGAAAGCTCTGTACAGTCATGTTTTAATTATTTCTTGTAGATTATCATCATTTACAGTGAAAGGTCTCCGTGGTAAAATGACAGTGATTGGATATATACTTTTCATTAGAGCTGGACAAAGGTGAATAGTCACAAAAAAATGCACATTCTGTCATGAATAAATGTACCAAGTTTTAGTTTGCTATGATTCATGGAGTCATATCGGTGTGAGTGTTCAGCAAAATATTCAGAGATCCAGACTTTTATATTTATATATTAATTAAATATTGTCGTATGGAAAATCTATTTATATGTATGTATATGAGCATCCACCATAGTGAAATCATTACAACATTTAAAAAAAAAAAAAAGGCAAAAACCATCCAACAGCAATGTTTAGATATGCATCTTTCATTCACATTTCAGTTCTTTTATTCTGACCCAAAATACTAAATATTTGGGCAAATATTTTGTATATCTACCTCATGATAAATCACTTCCACACGAATCTGATAAAAATTGAAAGGAACCAAAAGAGGCTCACCAAGAATAAGTGAAGAAAAGGAAAGGTGCTTGCAGCCAAAATAAATACAAGACACTTTCGGCCAAATGCCCAGGACAGGCTCAAGGAGAAGATGGAACTAAAACTACTCCAGGGTAAATATTTCCTTGCCTCCTACCTATACAGTGAAGGATCAAGACTGTGATGAAAATACAGCCATTAATGGGTATTCTGACTACATAAAACTCCATCCCTTCAGAAGTGGTTTAACCGGAGTTCAGTAAAAGGCACATTCATTAACTTCCAATAAAAAGGTGCTAAAAGGTCTAGGATCTGATGTGACAGCAGTACTTTAAACTGCAGTCAGAAGGTCTAAAGGACACCTATTACATTGACAAATCTCAGAATTTTTCTGTACTTTGAAGAATATCTATTTCATACAGCCTTTAATCCATAACTGAACAGCGGATACTGCAGCTACTAGTAGCTATGACACAAATATTTCAAATTGTTTTCTCTTAATAAAAGAACTCACTGAGTTTGATCACCAATCCTGCACTGCAAAGCTGCTACTAATGAATTCAAAAAAACAGATTAAAGCTACATACATAGAAGCGAACTACTGAAAACAGAGAGATTGGGAAAAGACAGCTCAATAGAAAATGTGTTCAAAATCTCAAGAAATCAAAGAAAAATGCCATTTATATATCTAAACATTACTGAGCTCACATCGGACTTCAAGAAACTAGAAACTCTGTGTCAACCAGTAAGTTATCACAAGAAGAGGTTAAGTCTAACAGCAGAACAGAAAGATAATAATTATGTCCTGTAGACTACAACTTGTTTGACTACCATAAATTCAATTGCTATGTTTATTCCTCACACCAAGTATAAAATGCTTCCTGCATGCATCCTTCATTGGATTCTTTAATGGCAAAGTGGAAGGAAATAACCTGACATTGTCTTTTGATCATTCCACAGTGCTAATGGCAGATGACGGTCAGGTACTTTCTCCAACACTTTCTCATTTGAAAGACTGGTTGCCATTAGCCAGGCAACAGTGTTCTTTCAAGCAGAACTCCTCTATTTCACACAATGCTCAGCACTAACAAAACAGAAACTATACCATCTCAAGCGTTGTTGTGCAGTTACTATATGAGACTAGTATAACAAGAAAGTGCATGCTAAAAACTCCCTAGCATTTCCCTTTAACCTAATGTAAGGACTAACATATGCCAAATTTCACCTACTTGAAGAAAAAAGCGGATCTGTGGGGTATGACAGAAGAGTGGACTAGTGGCCTTCTAAAATAAGTTTGGTTAAAAATACTGACTACATCCACAAGAGAAACGGGTGAATGGTCTCACAGTGATGTATCCTGCCCACTGCTGTTACGAACGTGCTAAGATCATTCTCAGTAACAGAGCACTAGCAATCCTGCCAGACTGGATTGCTCCGTCAGACCCTAGTTTTTGGATTATATATCAGCAAGTTAATGTTTCACACCCAGATTTTCCAACTGGCATGCCGTCACTGGGGAGAAGCTAGTTTATTTTAATTGACACAAACATGAATGTGTTTATATAGCGGTTTCACAGCTAACTCTTAAAGCTACTGACTGGATTGTCCATTTCAAGCTGTAACACCCATTCTGTAAAATGAAATTGATCTTCAACCTAATCAATAAACAATTCACAAAGATGCTGCATGTTTTTAGAAAAATACAGTAAGTCATGAGGAAAGAGAAAATTAAAATATAGAGTGTGTAATCTAGGAGCACCACTGATTTTTGCTTTTTATGCACCTAGTTTTCTTTTAAAATCTTCCATGTAACATTAGAACCCTAATTTTTTTTTTCTTCATTTACAGTACTTGTACAAATACAGTCCTATCCAATCTAAACACATGCAGTACTTATCATACAACTTGTCAAATGATATACTGTTATTTCCTCAATTGGCAAAGCAACAGAGATTTCCCCTCAACGGCAGCCAACAAGTAGAAAAAGAGAAGTAAACTGATGTGTCTGGTCTCCAAACAACACTCCTCTCTCCCCTCTTTTTTCCACAGTCGTTCAAGTTTCCAAAATGAAGCCTAGTCATGTAGTTCCATGACATGGGCTGCATCCAGAAACAGTACAATAAGTATCCATCAATATTTTTCCATTCATCACCCTCCATTTACCTGTCTTCATACCTCAGATAAATATCAAAAGTTTGATGGGTACTATTGTTATCCTAAGGCAAGATATAACACCCAGCTTCTGGTTTCGAGGAAGCAAAGCATTTATGCCTTGTTTTCCACAGAAAAGTTAAGTCATATTAGAAAATGACCTTGTCTTAATTGCTACTATTTCTCAAGGTTGGTAGTCATGGTAGCAAAAGGCAAGCCATGTTTAATACTGCCTGAACGGGTCACGGCTAACCTGGCAACATCAGTAGAGATGTTTCTCTAGTAGGTCGAAGCCTACTGAAAGTATTTAAAGGTCTTCTAAGTCAGATTTAGAAGACATGAAGTAAATGCCAAGATGCAGCATCTGCCTTACCGTAGAATAAAGAGGTAAGGTACTAGTTTCTCTTTCTTCATACACAGAACTCATTGTCTCCTGGGGACTCCCAGATCTTTTTTTTAGTGGATATTCATGTTTTTCAGAGGGACCATCTTGTTTTACTTCAAAGAGCAAAACTGATTTTAGATGAAACTCTTTTTCAGTCAGGAGAAACAATCAAATCTCATGAAGGACATAAGCAATAAGACAAAATGTTGCTAGTTTTGCTGGCACCCAAGGAAAGTGGCTGCAGCAGAAGCACGAGAAAAAGATAGCTTCTCCAAAGTAATTTTCTAGGATTATTCTTAAGAGAAAGCATTGCAATGCTTATCTGCCAGAATAACACACCATCTTATTCTCCCAAATGCCAGCGATGAGAAGACAGCTGATAATAACGCCCCTTGCCTCCTTCAGCATGAGGCCTTAAAATCCTCCGCTGTGCATCTTCATTTTTAAGAGAGCAAATTTTGCCAAGTTTTGCCAGATCTTGCCAAAAAGCAATCCCACAGAGCCTCCCCAAAACAAAGGAAGATTAGTTTAACTTGGTCAGTTCCCACTGTAAATTACCATGAAGCTTTACAGGCAATCCCACAGACATCTGCGGGTGCCAGGAATGAGAAGCGGGGAAAGGCGGGGACCGCTTATGCCAGGCTGTCACTGAACAAGAGTCTACGAAATCTCAGCTCTATTCTTCCGTAAGCCATTTCCAGAGGTGATGCAGGCACTATGGATGACATGTCTGGCTGCAAGTGTTTACTTGGGGGCCTGCAGTATCTTCAGAAAATAAGATATGGGTGCTTCTGAAACTGGTTCTGAAACTGAAACTTATTTCATATATTTAAAATTTACAGAAGACATTTTTCTAGCAAAGAGAAAACTTATCGACAAAATAAAACTTGGATTTTATGCAAACATTAAAGACAAAACAAAATACATACAGACTGGAACCCCAGCACAAACTCACATTTTTGTCATAAATGTTTCCAGAACATGGTTGTCATCTGTTATTCCTAAGACTTCTGACATTCGGGCATACACCTGGAAATAAACATTTCAACAGTATGCATATTATAGACATTTACAAGTACTGACATTTTAATGTAGTTTAAAACCTTCCTTATTTTGTTTTTGCATGAGAAAAGTACAGGCATTGATTTTGCATGAGAATAGTACAGGCACAAATGCCTGTCCATCCAGCCTAGCTGAAGCATTTGTAAGAGGTGGCTTATGCACTCTCTGATGGAGTTTTGTGAATTTGGGACCGATAGGCTTTTACTTGCCCTTGCATACATTTCTTCCCACACAGAAAACATAAATTTTCCACGTTAAACTCACTTTGTTGTTCACAGAACAATACAATGTCTATTCAAAAAACCTGGTTTTACTACAAAAAATTGCAAAGGGATGGAGAAAACATTCTTCTGTTGGTCTCTGTCCTCAGTGGGATGTGATTCAACACTGTCCTTTAGCGTGCATTTGCAAATTCTTGCACTGCCAGTCATAAAACCTGGTAAATTAGGTACTCTTCAGAGATTCAGTTTTGTGTTCTCCAAGGGAGAACAAAGGCTTTGGCAGCCAAGTAACTTCCAGTTGTACGCTTTTCTCCTTTATTTCAGATCCAAGACATATATTACCGGCCAAGTTTTCCCAGCACCCCACCTATCAGATCAAACTGCTGTTCAGATGCAGAAACAAACGCACAGGACACATCAAGTATATTTTTTTCCTTACTGTGTCATCTTCATCAAATTTTCTGGTAGGTTTAGTAGCCTAACATTCAGTTCGGATAAAAACATTTAGTTGGGTTAAATCAACTTCACAAAGAGAAAGGAGACACGTACTGCGAAATTTCTTTACAATCCTCTGCCAACTCATATTACCCTGAGATCAAGCAACTCTGCTATTTGCTTACAACTGGACTAAATGCAGATCTACGTCAGTACATTCCATTTTCAGTCATTTTAACCTTTAGTGACACTAAAACAAATACTATGGGTTATATGTAATTCTTCCGTACGATGTGATCAAGTCGAGTAGCGCTAAGGTCTGAGACAGAGCAGCAGCACAGCACACGCAGCCCCAGTCACCCAGCGGTGAAAGCCTGGTGCCATCTAGCTGTCAACTTTGTTTGCTGACATTACATATTCCACACAAATACCAATGAACTTTCGCTAACTCAGACCTTCTGTTACTGGACCTAAACTTGCTTGTACCAACTTCCTTTCTGCTACTGCTGTAATCCCATGACTGTGCTTAAAACCCAAACCAGCAGTATTCTACCTCTGAGGAAGACGATGAAGAAAATGATAATAATACAATAAAATTGTATTGTCATGTCCCAAAGACTTTAGTTTTAAATCGGAGCATAATGAAGGCATGAGTAAATAAACTTGCAGCTCTAGCCAGAAATTGCACCAAGACCAATAATAACTTGCAAGCTAACTTATCCTTTTATAATTGTATGAACGCAATTTATTGTGACAAAATCAGTAGTGAAAGGACACTCAAAATATTAAAAATTTGTAATCAATACAATCCTTCAAACGTTTGCAAAATAATACGTTCACACTGTAAATGTGAAGTTACCATTTACAGTAATTAAATATAGCGACAATAATACATTCAAATATAAATCCCACATATTCTATTTTTTAAAAAAAAATCATCTCTCTAAATAGTGCACTGATGAAATGCTATAGCAGCTGCAATTTTAGCAAAAAGTACGAATTTGACAGGAGGAAAAGACAAAAAGAGACGGCAAGGAATGTAAACGTATCAGCAAACACAGGTTTATGTTTAAGAGCTTCCCTTTCTGCCACGGGAAACCAGTGGGAGAACGGGAATGTGAGCGAGCACATGCAGCAGCCTTGTGCTGGGCTGTCAAACTAGGCTCTCCCCACATCCGAGTTTAACAAATAAAATACTAAAACAGCAGTCAGTGTTGACAAAGAGCAGTGCTTTAATCCACAATTATCGTTGTAACTCTTACTACTCCTTTTATCATCCATTAGCTTTGATTCCCATTATCCCATCAAGAACTGTGTCAACGCTTTTGTCCCTGGGGATTTCCCACAACTACTAGGATCTGACAGCCAAGCTTGAGTGCTAAGCAGGATCATTACCTCTTAAATCCACTTATCTGATCCACTGAATAGTAAATTGAAAAGCTCATTAACAGCAACAATCTGATTTGTTTTCACATGTGACAGGGTCATTTCAAGTCAGCATGAATACAGTGCTTGTAATAAAAACTACTACCCGTTCCGTAACGTGACAAATTGGAAGCTAAAATAAATGTGATATTTTAAACACCTTCTTCAAAATAATTTTCCAAACCAGCACACACTCTTCGCATGTAAAAATAGAAAAGCAAACAACCCCCAACCACAACAATGAAACGCCCTTAGACTTTTAAGCACTATAAAAAATTAATGACAAAGCATTTTTGATGTATAATAATAAAACACATTTCAACAACAAAGACCGTGCTACACATTCAAAAGGCGGCGAAAAATACTGTTGAAAGGGGTCAAGAAAGGATGTGGAATAGCACGTGGAAGTGATCTCACCTTCAGCTTGGTTCCTATCCCTCCCTTGCGGGGGGCCTGCGGGACCTTACACCACACACCCCTTGGGCTTCCTCCCTTTCAAGCCTTCCCCTTCCTTCTTCCAGCAGGAAAAAAGAACAAGGCTTATGCTTTCAGTTCCCTCCAGATACTTCAAGTAAAGAGCAGGATGATTAACTTCCAGTAGGAAAGTTTAAGACTTCTGTAAAGCCTTTCCACAATCATTCCCAAATCCTTACAATGGCAGGATTTATAACTTGCAATACAAATCCTGCATTAACACACAGCGCTACGTGATCACACCACGCTGTTGCCAAAAATGTAAGTTTCTTAACAGTAAAACACCCCATTGTCACCATCCCATTCTCACAACAGATACGAACATCAGCAAAAAATCCACAGAAGCGATAACATTAGGCTACAATGTTCAATGAAATTCACGTGGTGTCGGCTCGACGGTTGGACTCGATGATCTTAAAGGTCTTTGCCAACCTTAATGGTTCTGTGATTCTATACTCAAGGTCCTTAAAGCAAGCTCGGGCTGACAGCACCATTGCAACCGATCCCCAAGTGGCACTGCTGTATGTAAAAGGTGACAGCAGTGGGCATGCCAGTGAAGAGAAAGAGGAGACCAACAAAACACTTTCAATAGTAATCGATAACAATTTCAAACGTATTAAAAGCAAGTGCAAAGGCAAAGGATCCAGAGATTCTTCTATTTTGTCCTGTCGGTACCTTTAAAAGCACCTCGGTAGAATCAGGACATTTTAGGAAGATGGAAGGTTCAGAAGCTCTGGTGCCAGCGAATTTTTATGATCTAGCATATTTATCAGTAGTTCAGATTACGTGACTGTATACTTCCCAACTACTTGAACTGTTCCTGCTGCGTTTCAAAAGGACGAGAAAATAAAATTGTGGAAGCAGTGTTTTATAAAGCAAAGCACTTGCATGTAAATATAATCCAGGAAAACAGAGAAATAATACAGTAATCACACTAAAACTTCATTTCCCCGACTTCTCTACTCTTTGGCCCTAGATATGTTTGACTTTGCTTTGTCTTTTGAGCTTTTATCTTTTTGGTACTATCATAACTCTGAAGAAGCTAATTATGTCAATTCTTAAATGTGAAGCAGATTACAGAACTGGGAAGCTCAGAATATGAGTTCCTAAAGGTTGTATGGCTATATAATGACAGTCACAGAAATTCAATAACGGCACTGTATGGAATGTACTCAAACGCACCCCATGAAACAAATTAAAACAGAGCAATGAATCTCTCACACTGTGCAAATAAGAAAACACAAGAAAATGTTGGTTTCTATATGTTTCATAAGGGCTATTATAATGAATTAAGATTTTTGGATAATGAATCTTCAGAAAATTACAGTAAAGTTATTACCCGTAGGCACAGTGTAAATGCTTAAGATATTATAACTTCCTTGAAGCTCTCCAGGCCTTGCTGCAGAGAACTATCACTGCAACATTAAAGTATTTTGTCATGAACACTGAGGGCAAAACCAGACCTTAACCATATCTACCCCAACCTGACAGCAGCTGCGTGGGGACAGCCGCTGCACCCCAGCCTGGAGCGGTGGGCTGGAGCGCACGTGGCCGGCCGAGGAGAGCAACTCCTTCCCCACGCTCTGTCAGGGAATTCATGCAATGCAGGGGCTACTACAGCAAATTTTCGAAGCTGCCATCCCACCTCACATACCCCTGTGCATCATCCACTGAAACTCCACACCTCATCACGAGTTTCTTACTCGGTGTCAAGTGCCACGACGCATTTAGTAATTTCCATCGCTTTTTAAAATCAAAATAAGGTATTTTGAATTTTCAGCACTTAAAAGCTCCATTACATTGCAGCAGTAATCTAGCTTCCAAATCCCACAAACAACTTCTGAAAATCTGAACTGAATCCCCCAATTAGTGTATCAGGCTGCCAGATCATTCATCTTTACCTCCTGACCAAACGAAGGGCTTAAAAAGCCTTGACTTTTCTATCCTCTCCACAGCAGAGGAAAACCTTGGTCACTCAGAAAACCTCCATTCTTTACCAGCTGTCTTAAAAAGGTAAGATCTCAAAACACCCTTAACTCAGAGTGTAAAGCAAGAGAATGGGCTAATCTATTGTTTTATAGTTAGCTCCCTAAATGAAATAAAATTGCAAAACCGGTCATAAGAAATTGCCTCAGTTTCAGACAGGATCTCTGAAGGGAAGGTTGGGCTTTGTGCTACATGAAAAGTAGGCTACTCTCCGATTCACTGCTACATGTGTTTGTAAGCAACCAGAGGAATTACATCGATTATATAAATGATATACAATCTCCCGTCTTACCTATAAACCTAGCCTAATTAATATCCTGCATAAAGTTAGCCGCAATTGAAAGAGACCGACTATAAAATAACATTAAAAATTAGGGTATTGTTACTACAACAAAGTGTAACGTTGTAGGAGAAAGGGTAAATCTG